TGTGAAAAAAAAATTTTTCCCCGGTATTAAACAGGCAAAAATGGCAAAGCAATCCAGAGGCAACAAAATAGTCCCGGTCCTTCAACGATTGCCGTCGCTTTGCCTGAAATGCCATGCACTGGCCCTCATTCTGGCCCAGATTTCACTTTATTAACGGAACCGATACGGCGATGAAAAGCCCGCCGTAATGGCACTTTAGGTGTGCCGACATTGTCCCTTCACTAGCCCAAAAGTCGTGTGCTTGTTGGGTATGAAACAATGTTTGAATATGAAGCATTGTTTGAAATGAAGTTCAGCTTTCACTATGGAACATTGTTTCACCTGTCACTGTAAAACATTGTTTGAAAGCAAAATTTTTCAAATTTAATATAAAAAATTGTTTGAAGGTGATGTTCTTGAGGTACACTATAAAACAACGTTTAAGTATTGTTTGAATACTATTGGTTGAATGTTGAATGTTTGAATATAGTTATTTGGCTCACATTTTTAAGAAATTTTTTTTACAAAAATTTTTTTTATATCAAAAATATATATTCTCTAGAAAATTTAATGTTTTCTAGAGAATATATATATTTTTATAATATTTTTATTTCGGAATATAATATATAACATATTTTTATAATATTTTTATTTCGGAATATAATATATAACATATTTTTCGAATATATATTCGAAATATATATATTTTTATAATATGTATATTTCGTAATATAATCTAAAAATTTTAAGAAAATCTGTTGAATATCTTAAGTTATTTGGCCCACACAAATCTATATTGTAAAAAATCTTCAGAATATATTTTGAAGATTTTCTTCAAATTATCTTACGAATTTCTTCAGATTATATTCTTAAGAATATCTGAAGTTATTTGGCCTACATCAGTGTTTCTCAAACTTATGACTTTTGTCAACCCTTTCAAAATTTCTCGTAACGCGGTGTACCACCAATACGAAAATGAATGTATTTTTTTACTATAAAAAAAATGCATAAGTTAAAAACCACAACTGGTTTTTAACTTATGCAATTTGTTAACTTTTGCAATCTGTTAACTCTGCAAAATATAGCCAATCGAAAAATACGTAATTGTTAATTTTCATGGCTAGNTTTTTTTTTTTTTTTTTTTTTTTTTTTTTTTTTTTTTTTTGAACTTTTCGTTTGTTGCATCATATTTCACATAAGAACGCGTACCCCCGCTAAACTGTTCCACGCTTTGGGAAACACTGGCCTACATGAACCTTAATCTTAAGAAAATTTTCAGATTATATTCCGAAGATTTGTTTCATATTATTTCCTTAAGATTTTCTGACAATATTCTTAAGAAAATCTTAAGAATTAGTGGGCCAAATAACTTAAGAATTTTTTAAAAGTAATTCTTGAGATTCTTTTTAGTGGGATGGTTCGAAATATTGTTTACCGAGAAGTTCCCATTCTCCGTTTGTGATGTAAGTAGAGAGGTCACCTCCATTCTCTGAGGAGAGACGGAGATCTATCTGGTTGCCGTCGTATGTCCAGGATCCAAATTTCATGTTGCACCTCTGGTCATCGAAGGGAAACCACGTGATGTCTATCTTGCAGGTACTCTTGAATATCCCAGGGGGAATGTAAGTGCAGCTGCCATTGCTCCGAACAACAACGTTCGTGTGGTAGGTGCCGTCGAACTTCTCGTCTGCGCTGCAACAAACATCACACTTTAAATCCTCGATTATTATGAGGAAGTGAAGTTACTAAAATTAATTTTTTGCTCACGGCTGGTACAACATGTGGACCACAGGTGATGGTACAGTATAGTACACCGTAAGCAAAGGGTTAAAGTGAACAATACAACCCAAGTAGCACAATTCACAAAAACGATATCGTAAAAACTTAGCTTTGAACATTGTACAATATCGTAGCGAAACATTGCACTGTATAAAAATATACCCCTTTTGTAACGTATATTCAATATCGCGAAACAATATTGTTCGATATTTTAAAAACGTTGGGGAACGTCGATCGATATCTCTCAGCATTTCAGATATCTCTGAATTTATTTTTTGGAATTATAACAATTTGACGTCATTTTTTGTCTTATAAATGATTGATTTAAGAACACAATAAAGTTAAAAATGAAAAGTTTTACTAACAGACTCTTAATGTGAAATCGTACAATATCGTACACACAATGTCGATTTTCGCCAATATTGACAATGTCGGTCGATGTAGACTAAAGCTGTTCCAATATCCCTGTGCTACTTGGGAAGTTGGACAGCAGGAAAAAGATGGTTAGCAGCTCGGGGAAGGGAGAGCTTGAAAATGGATGAATGATTAAATGAGACATTTTTAATTAACTGTTTCATTTTTAATAGACCTTAACAAAATCTTGCTCATAAAGTTGCAACAGACTTGATATAGATCAGTGCTTCCCAACTGGAAAATAATTCTTTTGGGATTTTTTTCTGCGCTACGTTGCGTAACTTAAAAGTTCTTAGTGACCCCGGGGTGAATCACAAGCTATCCGTTGAGAGCGATTTGGGGCATAGAGTTATCACAAAATAAAACTTAATGGGATTATTTCCTTTGTTGTCCGTGCATTTTTACTTACCGGAAAAATCACGTGGTAGGATCCAGTTTTACCTCATTCATTTACATATAATTTTTGGTTGTCATCAGCATAAAAGTCATAAAGGTACTGTTTTCCTATAAATATTCCCAGCTCATGTTGAAATCGAGGGGAACGAATGCGCAGATGCCCTTGCAAAGGAAGCACGCGACGAAGATCAACCTCGAGCTGTCACCTGTGCAGATGCTGTCGCCAGGCGAAGGATATACAACCAGATTTTTAACGAGGCAACAATCCCCGAATCTAAACTGCCCAAGAAATCATTCCTCTACAATAGCTAGGCTACGTACTAGACATTTCAAAGGAATGAAGATCTCACGCACCAATATAAAATCCTATCCCATCTGTAAGTACTGTCCTCATTTGCAACTAGAGACCATGTTTTTGACTGCCATGCTATTATCAGCTCCCTCTGTCAACTTGGAGCACCCCCATCGAAATTCTCCATGACCATCGCGCTCCAGGACTTGCAAATCTTGTTCTCAAGATTTTTGAAGGATTCAAATCTTTGCACTATCACTGTATGCATAGACACGACAACAACAACAACAACATCCCTAATTTAAAGTCATTTTCCTTTACTGTTATTATTACGCTTTTAATTCAAGAGTTTAACACTAAGAGAATTGTTGTTTTCTTTATTATTATTATCATAATGTAGTTCTGCGCTAGATTTTAAGATAAAGTTATTTAGAAAGGTGGTCTAATCTTATAAACCATTTTACAATTATTATTTTTGCGCAAGTAACATTAATATATTGTTATTAATTACAGTTAAAGAGTTGTGTTTAATGATTCAGAACTTAACGATCAACTTCATGCACATTAAGATGTGAGCAAAAATAGTATTTAATATATCCGCTCATTTGATAAGCGAAAATATTAACAGGGTGCGTAGCCAAATTATTCAACAAAAAATAAGCACTTTTTAAGCATTCAAAAAATATTTTTAAGTACTTTAAAAAAATATCATAATTAGGCAGGGTTGGAAAGTTTTTGACAATTGACGGTTTTATCTTGTTTTATCATAAAAAAAAAACCTTTTGGCATTGTTTTTTGACAATTGTCAAACATCATGAAATTTTGAATCATGTAAAGCGACTGGCGTTTTCTTACGCTACGGATTGACAATACGCCGAAATAGATTGGGGTTGAATTAATTGTGAAAACGTTGAATAGAACAATGTGGACTGTGTCTTTTTGCATAATTCGAAGCGAAAATCAACATAGTAAAGGAAAAATCTCATTTTGAAAAAGAGAAAATTAAGCACTTTTTAAAAACCCGCAATGAAAAAAGCACCTTTAAGGCCTTTTAAAAAACGAAAATAAATAAGCACCTTTAAGCACTTTTTACGCACCCTGATTAAGTTATAGTTGCGAACTCAAATTTGTTATAACAATATGAAATGTTACTTTAAAAAATTATTACTTGTAAGAATTACTTCTGTTCACCAATAGATCTAAATATTCATAATACTGATAGAAAATAAAATTTGAGCGAGGGAAGTGGAGGTATAAGAGTAATCAAACAGGATTCCTCTGTAGAAAATGTTTTTGATAGATGGCGGCCATTTTGGAAAGTTAGGTGACTCCCCTCAAGTTCTTAGGTGCTATATCACTTTTGACATGTTTAGATAACATCTGATTCTTGATATGATTATATTTCAAGTAAAATGAGCAAGAATTAAGTAAATTTGATTCTTTAGATCACTTTAAAGATCTATATACTTGTTATTTGTTGTAATTATTTCAACTTTATAGTCCGTTCAACGAGAACTGAGAGTGGAAGTAAACAAAAGGGTTGCTGTTTGATCGCCAACGTTTGCCACTTTAACGGTTTCTTCGCTGAATGGGCGATTTCATTTTAATCGACAGAGCTTTCGCTTTTATAGAAAAACGAAAACGATGTTTGGTTTTTGATACCTTAAAATTAGATAAGAAAGTGCAAAATTAAAAATATTTTAATGAAAATACGTTTCTAAGTGTTTCAGTAAACACATAATTTTATTTTAAGAATAGTTTTAATATATATTTATATTTCTTTAAGTTTTGATTAAATTAGTTTTAATATATTTTGCATAAATATCTATGAAAAACATAACTTTTATAATTCCATCGTAAAAGTCGTATAGAATTGAAAGTTATGTTAAAAAATGTTAAAAAAATACTCTTTTATTTTCATAATTACAATTTTTTTTAAAATTTATTAGAAGTTAAATAATATTTAAAATAGTTTTATGTTTCACCGATTGATTTAANGCGCTGTTGTCGATGTGTAGAGTGCAAAAAACAGTCGATTTGCTTAGAAGGGTAGTTGTTGCGTGGCGTTAAAGTGAGGAGTTTCGTTTCCATCGCTCTAAAGCATGTTGTGAAAAGGCTTAATGACGAAAAAAGACGAGATGCTTGAATCCATCGTGCTACTGTCCTATATGGTAAAGCATTTGCTCCAAAGGCTTCCACTAATCCTCGATAGCATTCTGTTGCATTTTTGCCACGGGCAACCTCGATTGTAAGCCACGACCGCTGATCACCTTTTGAAAACATGCTTTAGAGCGATGGAAACGAAACTCCTCACTTTAACGCCACACAACAACTACCCTTCTAAGCTAATCGCACTCTACACATCGACAACAGCCCCTCCTCACAGCTCCCATATCTAATTTGAGCATGCCCGTCCTTCTGTGAGTTTAAAGGTTAAGTTGCCACTATTTAATTTACAACCCTCGTATTTCAAGTAAAATGAGCAAGAATTAAGTAAATTTGATTCTTTAGATCACTTTAAAGATCTATATGCTTGTTATTTGTTGTAATTATTTCAACTTAAGTAGAAAAACTGTTTTCTGCCAAGAAATGACAATTATTGGGAATCAATCATTGGGGTTGGTGAGCTGCAGCGAACAGGGGACTTACTCCCCTATTTAACTTTTTAAAAAAATCAGCCNTAACTTTTAAAAAAAAATCAAACAATTGTCAGGTAATTATTTTTATTTATGTTTCAAATATTTACACTGTCAAATGAAATAATGGTTTTATTCAATTCCTACCACTAGATTACACTCTCCCAATATATCTTGTTCAAATTTCCAATTGTTAATAAAATACTTTTTATTTATCCACTCAAACTTAAATACATTTTTTAAAACTTGATGTTCAGGCAGTTTTTTCGAACATTAATTCATTCATTAAATAGGGACATGCCAAAAACGAAATGCGAATTTGTAAAGCGTTAGTCATTGTTTCAAATTTTACTGTAAGCGATTCAGTGTTTTACATATTTTAAAAATAACATCAATGATAATTTCTAATTTATACCTCTATTTGAAGAAAAAATAGTTTATTGTTCACGTTTATATATTTAATTATTTTATATTCGCTGTGTCGGATAAATTCATTAAAGAACGTGACGTGGCAGCACGTGTGTTCCACGTCACCCAATTTATCCTTTTATAGTTGTCTAACACAACGGGATTTTTTTTTTCAATTCCTACCATTAGTTCACAATCTCCCCCTATATATTTATATTAATTGTTCAAATTTTAAATCGTTCATAAAATAATTTTTTTTTCATCCATTCAAATTCATTTCTTTAAATTTGTAGTGGATGACCACTTGATGTTAATACAGTTTTCTTTCTTCAAATATTATATATCATTCATTAAATTTAATTCATTAATTTTAGTTTTATATGGGAGAAACAATTGTAATTATTTATTTAAAAGTAACTTTGTTTACCTAAGTAGGAAACGACTCGTTCTCTAAGAATTTGGGCTAAAAAAAAGAGAAAAGTAATAGGAGAGATGTTACCTGTTATACATGAGTACATCGGGTTTCCAAATCCTCCAGGGGGGGATCCGGAGATCCATTACTCCTCCGTAATCACTCGCATTCCATCGCAAGTTCACATCCACCCACTGCTGCAATCAAACAAACATTCTTTAGTCTTCTATTTTTTTTATTGAAACTATACATAACTTCGTCTGCTTCAACAAAAATCGATGGAGCTTCAAGCACAATGGGATCTCCTCATTCCAGATCCAGTTTTTATACTTTTATAACCGTCGTTGAACAGCCGGAATCAATTTTAGGGCTTACGACTACTAAGGTTCAACTCCGCAGCCTTGCCATTTTGAACCCAATCTAGAAGACAAGGGAACTCCTGTATAAAATATCGGGAGAAATTAGCCTTCGTAGAGGACTTTTTGATGGAACTAACCCGCATTTGCGTTACATGGAGGGGAAGAAGACGAGAACCTTCCACGTTAAACCTGACGGCATAGGAACTTTAACCTATGATCCGTCGTCCGCTGAGGATATTTCACGGATGCAAAACCGGATGCGGAATTCGTCTTGACCAGCCATCACAGGTACTCTAACCAGGTTCATTTCATTGGAAGTCGAACGCTCAATCCCCTGAGCAATCACGGCCCAGAAAGAGTTAAGTTGTCGATGAAAAATTACAATTAAAAAAAACTTAAGTAGCCTTGAGGAAACAGAAAATGAAAAAAAAAATAATAACTAGAAAAACCGTCGTGACCTAGAGAGACAAATAAAGGCAAAATCCATAACCCCGCGCTACCAAAATCAAAACTTTTGATGGTTTTCCATGGAGGGTCCAACATAATATTGATGGTAATCATCAATAATTCCATCATGAACCACTATATTTTTTGATGATAACCAACATAGGTAACCATCGCTTTAATGTAGGAATTCGAACTGATTTATGATGGTCCATCATAAGAATATCAACTTGTTTTGATGGTTTGTTCTAGTTAAACCATCAGAAATTTCCATCATAGTTTCTCAGAAATCAAATGTCGGAATGATCATGAATCACCATCAAACAATGTAAGAATTCGGACTGATTTATGATGGTGCAACATAAAAATAAAAATTGTTTTTATGGTATATTCATGGGAACGAATAAGAGTTCCCACTAAACCATCATGGAAATGTATAGTTGGAACAATCGTGGACCATCACGAATCATCATGGATTGTTGGTCCATGAGAATCAAATTTATTTTGATGGTTAACCACCATAGAATTAAAGTAGCATTTTCAATCACGGAATGATGGAATTTTATTAGCATATCAAAAAACATGAACGCATAATGGAAAATGTTGGATGATGGTAACCATCAAATGATGTTGGACGTCACGAATCATACTGAAACCAACATTAACCATCAAAATGTTTCGATGAATTTTTACAATCAAGAATTTTTACTCGGGTATGTGATGAACTCGTTTCGATAGCAACTTTACAGGGAATTATCAAGAAACAACATTACTTATCGAAATTGAATTTATTATGAGAATTGAACTATGATTTTTTTTTACTCTCTCGGCTATCACGGTTTCCCATGTTATTTCCCCCTTTCCCCCCTCGTTTTTCGCTCTCAACTTTACGTTTTTTATTTGAAATTTATAATTGTTTCCCTCCTTTACGTCTGGAGAATGGGCACCTATTTTTGAGCACTCAAAGAATGTGACTTTTATCACCACCTTCGTACATTTTGAAGAATGAAGTTTTCCTATCATCAACAAAAAAAGAGGCATAGTAGTTAATGAAAAGGACTCGAAAGAAAATAATGAGGAAAAAAGAAATCACGAGAAAATGACATTTTCTAAAGAATTGGAAAATCTAGGCAGAATTAATGTGAGAGGCAGGATGCATTTAATGTGAAAGGCAGGAACGAGGCAGCTCATTGGAATCCATATGAATGAAACTACAGAATAAAAAACTATGTTATCAAAATGCTATTGCACCAAAGAAACTTTTATGTTTCATTGTTAATTTGTTGTGCTATTATTTTTAATATAAATGTCCGTATTTTAAATGGTTTTCAACACAAAACATTATTTTTTTTAAATAAATAGAATGGATGTTTAAGATGATTTTAGTGAAACACCTTGATGCAAGAGTATTTTACTTCGCTACTTTGGGGCGAAGTAGTTGTTCCACCATTTTTGGCCTTAAGATGCATGAATTGCTTTTTGCTATATTAATTAATTTGCACTGCAACGCATGTATTTTTGAAAATTAAATAACATATATTGTTAGTTCCAACTAATGAACAAATTTATAATTTGTATAAGACTTTGAGTCATTTTATTCACGTAGGTAATTTGAAAAAAAAAATAGCGACCTGATTTTTTCTAGTTTTACACTCTTTTTATTAATGAATAAACACGCGCATTATGCGGCACATTAAAAATGCAAAAGAGAAAGTTTAATATTCACGATTGCACTTTAATATGCATGTGATCTAACTTAAAAAATTTTATTAAATGATTTATAGCCTTTTTTTTTAATCTGCAAATAACAAAATGATTCAATATAATCCATAATTTACAATCCTGCAAAATTAATTCAGCTTCTATTTTTATACTAAAAAAGAGCATAAGTATTTAACAAAATAAACATAGCTAAATCAAAATGACACTAAGTGGAGATAAAATGCAAAATGAAAAAAAAAATTCTCACAAAATAAAATTGAATTCGCTTTCTGTGTTTATTTAAATCTTAAAACCCAGCAAACGAGTTTCTTTTTTATTTTCAAATTAGAATTTATGAATAAAAAATTGTTTATTTAAAGAATATTTAAGAGAATTTAATTCAATTAGTTCCTCATAAACTTATTAAACTAAAAAAGTATATATTTCATTAAATTAAATATTTAAACTCTTCTACCGTTTTGAAAATGTTCATTTCTTGAAAAATATTTTCTCTCCTGCATTTAAAAAAAAAGTTTTGGTCGATTAATATTCTTTTGAGGCGAGTATTAGATGCCATCCATCAAGACTCAGAAATTAAAGTTGTAGTTCATAAAAATTAAAGTAGAGTTGACGTAGATCAGTCTTCTGGATTATGAATTTACATCCTTCTTATCAATCATTTTATTAAAGATTTCTTCATCAATCATTATCATTGTCATCATCAGATTAAATAATTTTATAGCTTTTTTTATATCTATTTTCAGCTTTCATGGATGCGTGAATATAATATAGGGTAATATAAGACGGAATTAAAATTATATTAGTTTTATTGCATGAATGGAAGTAAATAATGAACTACTTATCTATAATAATAATTCTATAATAATAACTATAATATAATATCTATAATATAATATCTATAATATAATATCTATAATAATAATTATCAAATTTAATAATTTTAATGTTTTTTAAAAATCTATTTTCAGCTTTTATGGATGCGTGAATATAATATAGGGGAATATAAGATGGAATGAAAATTACATTATTAGTTTTATTACATGAGTGGAAGAAAATAATGAACTACTTATCCATAATAATAATTCTGTAATAATATCTATAATATAATATCTATAATATAATGTCTACAATATAATATCTATAATATAATATCTATAATAAAAATTATCAGAATAAAAACTTTTAATGCTTTTTTTAATCTATTTTTATATTTTATGGACGCGTGAATATAGGGGAATGTAAGATGGAATGAAAATTACATTATTAGTTTGACCACATGAATGGAAGTAAATTATGAACTACTTATCTATAATAATAAAATGAAACGTTTGTCTGTATGTGTGTATGTATTTCTTATAACTCCAGAAATATTTTTTTTCAATTCTGAGAGTTGGACAACGGTTGAAAGGAAAAATGTTAGCCCTCAGTCCCAAATATTGTTTAAAAATTTCATTTAGATTTTCCAGGAGAGAAATTTAACAAATAAAATTTCGGATTGGTTTAACGTTACACATTTTGAAAATTTAGTCTGTAGACTGTATTTAATCAAAAATGGGTTTACTGCGCATTCATTAACCCCTTAAAGTATAGATTAATATTTATTTTTTTCATTCATTATGTAAGATAGCTCAATGAACGTAGTTCCCTATACGGACTGTGTCACCAAATGAGTATTTCTAGTATTACCTCAAAGTTGCTTAATATGTTTTGAATTACGATTTAAAGTCATGTTTCTATAAAACTAAATAGTTTAAAATTTATTGGCAATTGAAATAACGAGAAAAAGTTACACACTAAAAAAAAATTAATGGAGAAGAGGTACTTATTCATTATGTGATTCATTAGGAGATTCATATTCATTAAATTGAACCGTGAATATTCACCAAACTATTATTGACAATGATGCTTTATTAATTTTGGTAAAAGGTACCACTCTTATTGCGGTAATAGGTGTTGTTTAAATTAATACCAGAAAAATTTTGTAGTAGTAGATAAGATAGTTATTTTATGTTGGTAGGTACTGTGTTAATAGGTTTTTTTAGGTCTTCCAAAAACGATAAATACTGGAGAAAACTGCTTAATCGCTATCATAAAGTGACTATGCGTAAGAGCAACATGCCAAATGATCGTAAGTATAGTTAATATTTATTGAAACGTGTTCAGCTAAATCGAATAACAACACTATGAGGTCCAGCAAATATATATATATAAACACAAGTAATGAAATAAAAATTTATATAAAGAGAAAGTAAAAATGAGAAAACCAATAGTCGTTATCAAGACACATCTATTGGTATAAAAAATTAATGCGATATTTCTGAATATATATATATATATATATTTACGTGTATTATAACATCGTTGCAGAGTGGAAGGATAAAAACAGGTTTTAGGCTGGTAAAGAGGGCACAATATTTATTTAATAATTATAAGAGAAAGAACAGTCATTAAGGTGGTTATAAATCTTTGTGCTTCTCAATAAAAGTTAGGGAAACTCTAGCAAAGCAATTCCGTAAAATGTTTCGTTTTAGGGAATGAAGGGAATCTTAACAATTGTAATTGGTCTGTTAAAGGGGTCCAGGGAAAAAGTGTTCCGGGCGAATTAGTCGGAGGGATATCGTTAAAATTTTAATAAATGTATACTTGAACTAAAAATAGATTAATAGATAGGATGTGAATTTTAAAGTGAGAGAAAGAGTGTTTTGTTTTGAATAAAAAATTAAAAAACGATTTACAGAAAAGGAATAACATGAAAAGTTTAGTTCAAGCTTTTTAGTTACATACGTTATTTATATATATAAATAAGACACACACACATTTCTATATACATATATATCTTCAAAATGAAGATAAAACAAAGGAAAATTACAGACATATGAAAAAAAAGGGGGGGGGAAGAAAAGTTATAATAGAAAAAAAACAACTGGGAGGAAAATAAAAGGATGAAATTTTTTTTTAAAAATCCGGAAAATAAAAGATAAAATCTTTTCATCAGCCCACACGATTATATCCGCACTATTATGTATTTGTTATTTTTTTATTCTTATTTTTCTTCTCCCCCCCCCTCTTTTTTTCATTCTGTAATTTTCCTTTCTGTAATTTTCCTTTGTTTTATCTTCATTTTGATCTTATCTAATGAGTTCTGTTTACTTGCAGCTTATGCGCAATAAATGAAACTTGTTGTTTTTCTTAATTTTCTTCGTGTTTTTTTGTGTTTATTTATTTTGTTTATATATATA